TTATCCTGATACCACTTATAAAAATCAATTAAATATCTAGGTACGTATAAAGAATTAAAACTGAACGTAATAACTGAGTTAAGTTTTAATTTAATCTATGTCTTTTTACTGATTAATACAATTGCTTTGCCGATGGATCATGAGGGTAGAAAAAATATGCTTGTTTGTTTGCTAACCCTAAATCCCGTCGCGGAGAACCTAACGGGTTACCTTACCTCTGGCTCGACGTGCAGGAGAAGGAACGGGGTGGTTTTTAGTCAGTAAGAGTCTGTGACTCCCTCCCGCCTCATCCAGGCGGGACGAGTCATTCGATAATTTTCCCCCCTTAAAAAAAATCTAGATCCCCATCATTATGAACATACCCATCTTCCGTGATGTATCCTATTTTTTTTTGTGGAAAACGAGCATACGGATTTTCTGATGGCCAGCAATCGGCGCCGTCCATACGGTCCATGAAGACTCGGAGCACCAGAGGCGTTATAAAATGCGTTGCCGTCATTTTGGTGCTAGGAATTTTAGGATTGTTGGGTATTCGGGTATTGGGTAGGTGAGCCTTTAGTAGCCTCAATCATACGACGAAACACAACGCAAGCGTTGTTTCACGTCGGTTTTCTATGAGACCGTAATTCCATTAGAATGGAACTAACCAATACAGTCGACACTAATCTTACAGTACAGCTTTAAATAATAGTAGGTAGGTAAAGTGTCACCTTACCCACTTTATACTAGGACATGTAAAACAATTTCCACCCACACTAATTTAGTAAGAATTACCTATCAACCTAGAAATAGAGGCAGTTATATTAATGGGACTAATGTAATGATGTCAACATGTGTAAGTTCTCATGAATGCTCCATAACAATGATAGCTATTGGTGGTTAATATCGCAACAGTATAAAAACTTAGCCAACTCAACTAGCGAACGTGGTTAAGTGCTTTCTATTTCTGTAGAAAAAATCTTGTGATTCTTTCTGGCCGGAGACAGAAATGGAAGCTTTTTTCTAAGGGGGGAAAAATCATCGACTAACTTCTCCCGCCTGGGTGAGGCGGGAGGGAATGTCAGACTCTTACTGACTAAAAACCACCTCGTTGCTACTCCTGAACTTCGAGCCGGAGCCCCGGAACCTTTTACGTTCTCTGCGGCTTGGTATAGAAATGGAATCTTGGAGGCTCGTATTTCTTGATTCTAAAAATAATACAAGGAAATTTGTGAAACATAATGGTGGTTGGAGAGAAAAAGTTCAATAAAGGATTGATACAAGTTTAAGAATTTTGATGGTAAAGTTGACTATGTTATCTGATTTTATCTGACCTCTCCTTCTAATGCAGTTACCCCCTGTATCAGGATAAGGTAGGGCTAGGAATAAGTAGTGTTTTTCTATTGCCTTAGTAATGGCTATACATACAAATGGTGCAACGTCTGTACACAGCCGACCTTGTTTCTACGCCTCCTTTTGTTCGTTAGAGCAGTTACAAGATTAGATTTAAATGTGTGCATGTGCCTACTATCCATTATTAGATCATACCTCGTACACTTGTATCGTCTATGTGCATACAAAACTCCTACATTAGATGCACGTCTTATCCATCATCTATGAAACACATTTTGACATTGTTCAGGGCGCATACAGAAGGGGATTGAAGTACGTAAGTATTTTAATCTACTACGAAAATTTTTGAATAACCGAAGAAACCCTTAACACTTTGTCAGACCCGGAAACCTAACTTGCGACCCCTTGCTAGACAGTCTACTATATGTTTGTGGCTACTGGACTAATAAAGTCTCATCATCCATACATTATAATATGTCCTAATAGGCCTAAAATCCTAAATAATCATTTTAAACTTCTAATTTTTAGCAGCTTTGTATATTTAAGGCGCAAGCACAACAGAGATGCGCATAAACTAAATATTACCGTGAACAAATATTAGTTAATATTTTCCTTAAAAAGTTACCTACTTGTTTTGTAGGTATTTCCCCTTTAAAGCACCGTCAATATCGTACGTGTTTTAATTTACAATTACTTTTTTATTACAACTGTGCCAGACATTTTCCTGTTCGTTTTGAGGCCTGTGCTTCGAAGGATGTGGTTATGTGGGACTTTACTTACTGCGAAAGCTAAAATTATCTCTAATTTGATTTTAAATTATTCGTAATTCAATGTTAAAGATTAAAAGAATAAGGTCTACTTTAATTTAAGCACCTACAGAACGACTTAGTAGTGCTAGGTACCAAACCATCTTATGGATGTTGTACCGTGATAGGTGTTTTTTTTATGTGATAAGCTAGTGAACGATCAGACGGATCATATGGTAAGCAATCGGCGCCGCCGCCCATGGACACCTGAAACACCGGAGGCGTTACAAGTGCGTTACCGGCCTTTTGGGAATTGGGAATTTGAGGATTGTGGGGGATTCGCGGATTGGGGAGACCGGGAATGGGGGAGGAGGTAGTTGGGCCTCCGGTAACCTCACTCACACCACGAAACATAACGCAAGCGTTGTTTCACGTCAGTTTTCTGTGAGGCCGTGGTAACGCTCCGGCAGAGCCGACCCATTCGTGCCGAAACTCTGCCACACTTTAACCGGTTGCACCGTGGGGGCTCCAGGTCACTTGGGACCCGTTGTCCTCTATAGGTGAAAATGGTGGGTACCGGGGTAGTTTTAGTGAGGTAAGAATCACTTTGTCCCCAAATACCTAGGTGCCTGCGGAAGGTTTCTCTCGACATAAAAAAAAAACTCCAAATCTAGGGACATTCTGCTTACTCATAATCTTCACATTTTTTTCTTATTTACTTACCAGTTACTTAGAAACTTACGAAGCTAGATATCCATGATAAGTGACGATACAGCTAAGCCGTCTAGACATTGATTTAAATCGACTTCAAGTAAAAAATTAAACCTACATTCCGAAGCATTGCAAGTACCTACCTATTGCATTATGCATGCGAGTCAAATCACTTGCATTGTATGCAGCCTGCCTGTCACCGTAATAACAGGCCGCCGTGAGATGGGAAACGGTCTTTTGTACTGTCATATTGAAAAGTTACGGATCGTTGGTCTAAGCTATTAAAACCAGTCTTATTGGACCCATGCTCTTTCATTGATTAAGACTGTCCTTTATCATGGTGAGTGTCAATGATTATTGGTCGTGTGTTTTCATGAAAACTGTCCTCTGAACAATTAAATCAATCGAGCACTAACATTCACATGCTCTCATGGCGGAATGGCAGCAACGACTGTCGCAACCGAGGGCTGGGCTCGCTGCCATTGCAGCGGTAAGACCCCTCTTTGAGGAGTGGCTTGAGAGACGCTACGGCGTCCTCACCTACCGCCTGACGCAGGTCCTCACCGGACATGGAAGTTTCGGGAGGTACCTGTGTCTGATGGGGCAGGAGGAAACGCCCGGGTGTCATCACTGCGAGGACCGCCCTGAGGACACGGTGGAACACACAGTGGGAGAATGCCCTGCGTGGGCTGAGCACCGCTGTGCCCTCAGGGAAGTGATCGGCGATGGCGACCTCTCGCGTCCGGGCCTAGTGCAGGCCATGATGCGGAGCGAGGGGGACTGGGATGCCGTCTCCTCCTTTTGCGAAGCAGTCATGCTAGCTAAGGAGGAGGCGGGACGCGTGAGGCAGCGAAGCGCTGCCTCCTCGCAACCCAGCCATCGCGAAGGACACACCGGGCGTCGGGGATCGCGGGACGATCTCCGGCCACCGTAAGCGCGGGCCTGCGGACGGCGAGCATGGGTGGCTCCCCGTCCGCCCAGAAACAAACCCGAGCGTACGGCGCGTCGCGTTCCGCGCGCGCCTCAAAGAGCCATCAGACCACCACAGATGGGGCCCAATAGGGCCGATGCCGATTCGGAGTCGCGGAGAACCTAACGGGTAACCGGGGCTCCGGCTCGACGTGCAGGAGAAGGAACGGGGTGGTTTTTAGTCAGTAAGAGTCTGACACTCCCTTCCACCTCACCCAGGCGAGAGCAGTCATTCGATGATTTTCCCCCCGTAAAAAAAAAAAAAAACATTCACATGCTCGTCATACATAGGTAGTTATTTATGCAATAAATAACAGCTGGCAGTGGCATATGTGCTTATGTTGACTACAGTTTGGCAAAAAAGTTTGGAATAAAATTGAGATCGTTAGTATTGTACCTACTTACGGCAATCTATGACTCAATCGGTTTTGATCATGTTTTGATATTTGTTATTTTTATTGAGTATAAAAGAGGAGGTAGGTACCTACTATGTTCGGATGATTGTTTAATCATAGGATTTCTGATAATTATTCAGTTCAAACTGAATGCTGTTACCGCGTCAAACTCTTTTTTGCCAAGCTGTAACTTTTTTTTTAAAACGTTGCCCCAAACTAGGGTTTTCTCCTGTGTCGTGGGTGCGTTTACAAACATACAATATCACATACACATGACACCCAGACCCGGAACAACAATCTGTGGATCACACAAAGCGTTGTTCCGTGCGGGAATCGAACCCGCGACACGTTGCACGACAGCCAGTTGCCCAGCCACCGCGCCAACCGTGCCTACTGACAATAATTACCTAACTAAACAAAAAATATAAAGTGTATTTAATATAGGGGTGTCGAATTATGCTTTCCATTTGGAAAAAATAGATTTGAACCTGGCAATAAGTAAGCTTACTTATATTTAAAGCAGCACTGTCGGTTGGTTTACCCCTCGGGGTATAAAATATTGTGATTGTATTAAATTTAAATATCATCATAATATTTAAAATAATAATTATTCATCGATTTGGTTTTAAATGTTTTTTAGAAAAGTGGTTTTAACTATGGAAACATTTTTTATGGTAAGTGACATTGACAATTTTGACTTGACAAATTGACAGAACAAATGACAAATCACCAACAACATTGAGCGGGAAGAGAAAAAAAACAAACGTGACATGATTTTGTAATGAAATTGTCCAAAATAAGTGCTTAAATCAAAACAATTGAAAGTAGTGAAGTTAATTTATCAAATATGAATATGTCAGATTTACCTAAACCCGTCCAACTAGCTGTAACGAAGTTGGTTCCAGCGTCTGTTTTGAACAATATTACTTGTTTTGTATTTTACGATAAACATCCAAGTGATGACAAAAATATTGATATTACAATATGTACCGCAATGGGGGAAGTGCTTGAATATTACGAAAGAAACTTAGTGTGTTCGATAAAACTGCCAAACAACGCCAAACCGACATCAATTAAAATATTAAGGAACCCAAACTGTGATCTTTTTTATTTAGTGATTACGAAGGAACAAATAACTATTGTAGCAAGAAAAGAAAAGCTAGTGGTCCACAAAGTAGTAAATAATGTCGATAAATACGATATCGATGATGGTTCATGCAATGGACAAGCATGTTTGAGAATATTCCGCAGAGGTGACGCCGTTCCACTCATATTTGACGATAACTTTGAACATTTTAAACGACCAGACATATCAGTAACAGTTTCTGAAGCAGAGAATGAAGAAACAGTACCTATTATAGCCCATTTGATGAGGAAATTGACTGAGGCCAGGTATAGTGTGCATCATAGTGAGAAAACTTATAAAGAATTGTTAGATCTCCATCAAAGGGTTGCATTTGAATCTTATAAGAAGATTCATCCTAATTTGCAGGATTCTGTGTTTAATAATGGCCCTGAAGAGGTAACTACTTACTACTTATTATTATTTTACTGTAAATTGTTTGTATACAACAATTTGTTGTCAACTATTTCATAACTTTTGTTTGCCTGTTATGTAAATGCTAAAGGAATTATTTAACCTATTATTCGATCTTATTCAGTACTTCTTGAAATTTTTAACTTAACCGTAACATCATAACATCACACCTTTTATCTTTGAAGGGGTAGGCAGAGGTGCACATTACGGCACTCAATGCCACTGTATAATGGAACACCCACTTGTCACTATTTATATTATGAGTCCCATGTAATAAGGGGTGAGCCTATCGCCATATAGGACACAATTCTAGACTCAGTGCTACTACTGAGATTTTTTTTTGAAAGTCCAGCAGCTTTCTGCCCGCCCCGGTATTCAAGCCGGAGACCCTTTGCCGGGCAGTCGCAATTGTGACATCTCGGCAAACCAGGCAGTCTTACTATTAATCATACTAACTTAACCATCAATGATTACAATGGACAGTAAAAAGAACTCAAAAAAGTAGAATTGTAAACTAACAGATTAATAAGATCTATTGTTTAATTTTCAGATTGCATCTGCCCTGCGGATTAAAACAGAAACTCCTTGGACAAAAGTTTGCAATAAGAAAATTGTGATTGCTATAGAAGTCATCAATTTAAATAAAGAGTGAGTTTAATACCTTTTATAAATGTTTATGTTATCTGTGGCAAGCTGGCCACTTTCAATAGGGAAACCTATTTATGTTCTTCTTTTGTTTTGAAAAATATATGAGTGTGTTTCTGACTAGCTTGTTTAATAAATAATTAATGCATTATACATCTTTATATATAAAAATGAATCCCTTTTTTCCTTGGACACACCAATTTCACTTATTCTTTTATGTTGCATTTGTTATTATTAGGAGATGGTTCTTAAGACAGAAAAAATCCTGAAAATCCTCCGGGAACGGGAGAAAATGGGATTGAAAAGCGGGCGAAGCTAGTTGAAAATATATGATAACACTTTTGTACAAAAAATACAATAGTGTTTGGTAGAACATTTAACTGTGTTTAAATAAATAATAATACCTACTTTATGTCCTATTATTTATTAATTCCAGGAGCCTAGAAGACGTCCACATCCTAGTACACGGCACTACGGGACAATCAATAGAATATACAACAAAATTATTTGAAGAAATCTCAACTAATACAAATAATTTACCATTTTGGACTGAAATTCAAACACAGGCCTTAAAAACTAATGTTACATCGGCTATAGTTTTTATAATGGACATAAAGGACATAATAGACAGTCTTATGTGCAAATTAAGTCTAAATGCTGTTATATTTTACAAGAAGAAAGGAAAGGAATATATCCTTCCTGTACAAGAACTAGAATTATATGCTAAAGATACCATCGGTGCGAAGTTTGATGCCATTGCTAGCACTCCTATAGGTATGTATTTATTTTAATTTGAATATGAAATCCTAGATACCTTTTGTATGATTTGTATTCCATTGTATTCCATTGTACCCCAGAAGAATCATATATTTCATGCCCCCTAGGAAATACAAGATATTACTTACTCTGAGTAGTTTTTTGCTGTGTATTAGTTTTTAGTTAATTACTAAGTAGGTACATCTATACAGATAAATAAAGGAGTGTCTGTTTATAATATTGAAATAACTGCTTTTTTCTACATGCATATGAATATACTTACATACAAAACCTATACCAAAATAACATTTGTTTTAAAATTTTGTCTTTCTGTCTGTCTGTGTGTTTGTATTAGCTTATTTTTGAAATGGCTGGACCGATTTTGACGGGACTTTTATTGGCAGGTAACTAATATACTAAGGAGTAACATAGGCTATTTTTACGTTATGTTCTTAAACTCATATTCTATGTGAACGAACTCCCAGGCGATAGCTAGTAATTAACAAAATAATTATCCATTTGGTAAAATTATTTCAATTACCTGTTACTTCCCAGTCCTAACATGTCCTGAACTGCATCCTCTGTATTACAGGAACTGGAAGTTCTAAATAACTACTAAAAATTATAAGTAATCAATATTAAAAAAAAAAAACACTTTTTCTATTTTCAGATTCCAAAACTATGCTGGCCATACTAGCAACAACAGAAAAAACAGATCTTCTACTCAGACATATTCTGAGATCTAAGGAAACAGCGTTGTCTCTTGATATCCTATGCCAGCATCTGATGATGGAAAAACTGGATCATTATAGTAATATCATCATACATAGGAGTTCTCCCTATCATACTTTAAATGGTGTTATGATTCTAATGCACAGTGAACAAACTGATGTAAATGATTATACTACTTTATCTGTGTATTCTAGGTAAGTAATTTTTAATTTTTTAAATTAAATCTTTCTTTTTTATAATATTATTGTCGATACCTTGTAGCATGTAATACGTCCGTATATTACTATCTACTTACAAAACGTAATAACAGACCAATAAGAAACATAATTTATTTAACTTTCAGGACACCATCTCAAGTGTTAGCTCTCATCCACTGCATACACGATGCTGTACCTCTAACACTAGTCATAACGACGCCTGACCAAAAAATCCAAGCAAAAGACGACAAACTAGCAAAATTCAACGAAGAAAGTATAGATTGCACACAAAAATTATACAATTACCAAAACTATGCATCAACTATATTGAAACGGACTAAACTAGCGTTGAAGTACTTGGACGATACCATGGTGAAAATGGGCGAGTCTAAAAATCCTTTAGTTCAGAGTAAGATTGGTAGTGAAATTGACCTCTTTGCTGCTGGGCAGGGAAGGTATATGGAGTTTAAGGATAAAATGAGGAAGGAGGCAGCTTTGGGTGTTAAATCGTTGTATGAAGATGAAAGGGGAGAGTCGGGAGATTCCGACGACGATGTTATGTGTATAGACTGAGTGAATTAAATTAAGGTCTGAGGTTGTCTCACCGTCCCCGACTGGGGGCGTAAGGTCGCGCGATGCAGGCCGATGCCTGTCTCGGCGGGGTCTTCTCGCTGTCTGCGACTGCAGGCGAGGAGTTGGAGTAGTCGGGCCTCTTGCGGAGCCCGATGTGGTGTCGAGTCCGGTGGGTGGCGTCGCTACGTGCCGCGCTCTAGCCCCGCTAGCACGGCGAGCAGCAAGCTGTTAGCGGCACGTGGTTGAAATTAAGTGCAACTGTATTTTGACTGCCTCATTGGCCGACTGGTCGCAAGTACGACTGTCGGGCAAGGGGTTTTCGGTTAGATTACGGAGTCAGACAAAGTATTAATGGGATTTTAAAAAAATTCTCAGTAGTAACACGGAGTCTGGACATGTGCCCGGTATATAGCAATAAGCTCACTATCTATTACATGGGACTCATAAAATAAATAGTGTAAAGTGGGTGTTCCATTGTACAGTGGCAATAAGCGCCATAATGTGCTCCTCAATCCTCTTCGGGAATAAAAGACGTGATGATATGTTATGTTTTTTTTATTAAAAAGTTGATTGTGTAGTGTTGAACACTGAAGTGTTGGGTTCAGTAACTGACTTTGTTTGTGTTATTGGGTTTTTATTGTATTATAAGGAACATGACTAACTAACTAGTCTGAAATTTCATTATGTGGCGAAGTAAGTATGGCGAAATTGAAGTAAGTCTGGAAGAAAGTGGCGTGTGAAATTTGCCTTTAAAAGGTTTTATGTTTTTATACAGTGGATGTTGTACTGTTTTATACGTAGGTAGTATTGATCTAACTGTGATACTAATAATATTAGTTATTGAAGTATGTACTTTTCTTTTCATTATACTTTTAATTAAGTAATATTTGTATGTATGCATGTTTATTTGTGTTTAAATTTTCATTTCGAAATCGTATCTAAAGGTAGTTATTAAAAAGTCCATATAATGTGTCATCTTCTTTAATAATACAAAACCAGTTATAACAATAAACAAAAATAATTGTTACAAAGTTCCATCACTTAGATTCACTATGAACAACATCAATATCTTAATGTTAAAAACTTCATGTTGACAATAAAATAAATTAAATAGTAGTAACATTACAACAAATTAGTCTAGTATTAATAATGTACAAGTTAGCCACTATTAAATACTGGCTGTAAAGAGTTTCCTAAAATAAATAACTTAAAAAATATATTCTTAAAAACTATTGAGCATTTATTAGTTTTAATTTGATAACTCACAATATTACATTACCTATTTGCCTAGTTGGCTAATATTTTATTATTTTACGTTGATTATGCGTTGAAATTTTCTTATTAACTACGGGGATGCTCGAAAAGAAGATTAATATTTAGACCTAACAACGATTTTCATACTATGTTTTAAACATTATTTCTGAAATGCACAAATGAGTGTCACGTTCATTTAAAAACTAGCTTCTGCCCGCGACTTCGTACGCGCAATCCCGATATTTCCCGTTCCCGTTCTTGATTTTCGGTAAAAAGTAAAAAAAAAGAATTGGGTAAAAAGTATCCTATGTCCGTCTCCTGGTTCTAAGCTACCTCCCCGCCAATTTTCATCCAAATCGATTTAGCCATTCTTGAGTTATAAATAGTGTAACTAACACGACTTTCTTTTATATATATAGATTGAGCACAACTTCTTCATACCCAGAAAACATAAGCTATCTATTCCTACACAAATCTATACAAATCTGTTGGAAATATACAAAATTCTAAATGAGATTATAACAGAATTACTTATACGCTAAAAGTACCCGGTTTCCCCCTTTTGCGTTTTCTTAGCACCATATTATCAGCTACATTAACGTAAATTAAACTTAATAATTATAATAACTACCCCACAACCTATAAACCCTGTGACTGTTGGTAACAAACAATCTCATTGATACATATTCTATGGTGAAAATATAAAATGTGAGGCTTACTCATGTCAATTATTATTGCTTACTCGGCTATTCGAGATCAAAATCTGCGTTAGACTAAAATGTTGCGGGTCTGGAGAGTGACACAGTGAAATAATGCTGTATGTAACACTGTTTTTGCGTCGACTCGGGATTTGAAATCAGCATCTACGCAGGTGCTAGCGGACGAGTCTAACGTGCGTGTGAATCACGGCAGGGGACGCGCTGCGCATGCACTGCAACGGATTCGAGTAGCCAGTAGCAGCGCCACAGTCGCTGCGTCGCGTGACATGGAATGCTAGTCATGAATATGAGCCTCTAGCATGGCTTGAAACTAGTCGAGTTCCTCGTCAAACAACGGTCGTAACAACGTGAGTAAGCCGAAAACATAATAATTTATTCGCTCGAATAGTTTCAAGCCAAGCGTATGAGCCTCCCGGGGAGGCTTGACAATAGTCGAGCTTGCGTTAGTAATAGTTCTCCATTAGACTCACTTGTAATTAATTTATTGGAAATATTTTTCGTTTATAAATAATTTTAATACCAAATCTTATTCCTAAGTCTTCTTAGTCTATGATGGTTAGTAAATTAATACAGCTTTACCTAACGATTGTTTGTTCCCAACTAAAGTCTAGCCGCAACCAAAATAATCGTGCTCTTGCTATTTAACAGAGAGGATATAATTCTGATCCTCTCTGGAGCACTGTATAATGTCAGGTACTAGGAAGCTAAACATTGCTGCCTGACTCTTCAACTATAAACAAATATACAAAATAATAATCTACAAATAAATTATACATACACTGTACAAAATCAAATAAATATTACTAAGTTTATAATTATTCTATTCTTGCATTGCACGTCCGGCCTCAATATATCGCTAAATTATTTCTAGTAACTTAAGTTATAAAGTCGATGTTTGTAAGAGGTACTTTTATGTATAAATAGATTAATAATAATCGTGTTTAACACGTTGTCATAAAGTATATTTTTATGTTATAAAATAAATATAAACATTTAAAAAATATACAAGGCTTATTAAATAAATATAAACTCTATAATTATATTATTAGGAGCACTTTCCATATTGCACCGTGATTATTGCACACTGTTCATGTAATCTTAATTTAAAACTAATAGGAATGCATTATAAACATTCGTTGGATTTGAATTTTCCATTAACATCACTAAATGATTTACTACTAAAACTTAAATCGTCTTCTATCTCAGTCTGTAGTTTTCGAAAATTATCGAAATAGACGGAATGTGTCTCTATACTTTCAGCACCAGATTCACTTCGCGCTTCGTTCTCCGTATCGTCACTTTCACTACAACTCACTATTTTAGCAATCACTAATTTCCTAGGCATTTGCCTTGAAGAAGTTGAGTCACTGCTTAAGTAACCAGAGTCCTGTATATTAGAGCCTTTCTTCCTTCTAAAACGAGTCTTATGTCCTTCCACCTTTGGTCCTTTAACAAAAGTATCAGTATTTATATTACAACTTCTACCCGACCGCTTTCGAATCACATTTCTGTTCATGTCCGTTTTTCTAACAGTCCCACTAATGGACTCCATGTTTTCATACTCCGAGGATTGTGACTGGACAGAAGCTCTCATTGGACTGCAGGAAGCTCCATAATGTGATTCTGGTGATATGGAACTATCGTGCGTCGAGTCAGTAGTCATACTCTTCGTAAATATCCTCGGACTGAGGCTTCTGCCAGTCACGTTTTTTGGATTAATTTCGTTAATTGTTTCCAAATCCGTCTCAACTTTTCTAGGCGGAAATATTGGTTGCTCATAAATTGGGTCATCGTCTGTAGGCGGTAATGGTGGTAAAACATCGGGTCGTGCCAGATTTTTGAGTTGCTTTATCGTAGGAGGCGTGCATTGTCTTTGTCTTTTAGAGTGCCTCAATTCTAGCGTCAGTATTCGACCCTCTTCAGTTGTCCATTCCTCGGCGTCATGCCAAGTCTCACTTGTTGTATCCTCAAGACTTTTTGAACCACTATAAATACCTGCAGTCAACTTAGGACGTTCATAAACGTTTTTACGTTGCTCGTACTCATGTCTAAGACTGTTGAATTTTGGCGAATAATCTACCTTATCGCTTGTCTTCTGGAAAGTGCCACTACTTCTGAGCTGTATGCGTTGTTGAACCGGAGAACTTTCCTTCTCGTCAATATTTTTGATAAGATCTTTCCTACTGAACTGATCACCAACTTCCTTGTGTTTGGGATGTTTTCTGTCTAAAGTATCTGGTTCAAAACCGTCCGATTCATGTATTTTGATGTAATTTTCTGGAGGATCTTTTACTTCAATAGTTAAACAGCCAGGCTTTAATTCTGTATCATTAATTGTAGTTACTAACTTTCGACTACCCATGGAACAATCTGATCCACTGGGTGATGTTGGAGCGCTTCCAAAGTTATAGGTGTTATTAACATAAACTTCACTGACTAAACTAGCTTTAGGTGTTTCGAAAGGAGGAGGTTGAGTCTTCTCTATTGTTTCGTAATGATTTTGGTCAATACAAACATCTCGATGTGGTGAAGGCGTATTACTATTACTGCTTGAATTAATTTTGTATATAGCATTCCTCATTGTAAGTTCTTCTTCTAAGGGTAAAGCATTACTTAAGCTTGGACTGGCCTGTGATGACGGTATATCAGTATAATCTGTAGTAGATAAAGCCTTCTTATTAGTACTTCTTTCCAAACTGTCTGTTTCATAATCGTTACCACACGGACTCTCAGATGCAGTTCTCGAGTATTGATTAGAAATCGGAATTGTGGGCTTTTTAATGTTACTTATTCTTTCTTCATCAGAACTACTCTGGTTGTAGGATTTTGTACAGTGATCGAGAGCAATGGCTTCGTTTACCATATCAGGAAGAACATTTTTATTAGTAAAAGGCTTGCTTATTCTTGGATGACCTATGCCATTTCTATGGTTCAAAGAACGATAATCATTTAGACCAACAGGTCTAATATCATCCACACGTGCAACAGTTTGACAATACAAATTGAAGTCAATGCGTTGATGGTCCGCGTTTTCAAAATCAGGCAGCGGTAAATTATAATTTCGTAACGCAGGTTCTGATCTAACAGATAATGTTGATGATTTTTTGGGTACTGAAAAGTTATCTGCCAAATACATTGAATTTGAACTTGAAAAACTGTTTTGTTTTCTCACTTTCCTGCGACTTTCACTGACAGGAAGGGATAAAAGTGATTCGGCTAAACTGTTTTGATTTGTGGGCAAAAAGTCGTTGTACGCATGTTGTTTCGCCGTGGGAATGTTTTCCAACCACTTTCGTATACTATTTTGCTTATCTCCTTTGTTGCTGAGACAGTTAACACAAGCTGGGATATTGTACTTCGCTATTTGTTGGATATCACTGTCGTCATCTATCTTGCAACCCGGACAGCCAATGCAATTTTCTTCCTACTGTTTTCTCTTTTCAGACTGACTACACTACCACTTCTTTGGCTCCCCATTCCTTGATAAATGTCAATACTATTTCCATTCGAAGGGATAGTTTCTTCTTCTGGTATTTGGTTTAAAATTGGTTGAAATCTTTTGGCTGCCATTTTGTGCTTTGCTATTGCGATCACTTCTCTAATCTTGACCAAAAATTCTAATGCTGCAGCTGGGGGTTCCTGCAATTATTAAAACAAAATTAATTTAAATATTGATAAAACCGAACTAATGTAAAACAAAGAAAAAAAATGAATATTATGTGTTCTTACCGCCATTAACTGTGGTTCAAAGTAAGCAGGATTAAAGTACAATTTCCTTCGTGTTGTGCCAACTGGTCGTGCTATTTCCCGATCGTCTTGTGTTTCTACAATAGACACATGTTCATCTGGAAGTCTCTCAATTCCCGACTCATCGCGATGACTTACTTCTGAATTATCGTTTTTATTTGTTTTGAAATCGCCATAATGTTGATGTATCACTGCTGAAGTAGTTTGATTCTGAAAACATAGATATTTGTGTCTCTTTATAAATATTTGCTAATGCGCTACTGCTAATGACTGCACGGTTGGTGCGGTGGCTTGGCAACTAGCTGCCGCGCAACGTCTCGCGGGTTTTATTTTCCCTCGGAACAACTCTTTGTGTGATCCACGGATTGTTGTTCCGGGTCTGGGTGTTATGTGTATAGTATAAGGTTTTTTTAAAAGACAAAAAATTATAATATTCTCATTGCATATGATTAGTATCCACTAGATCGAACTAATACTTACAGTATACAAATTATCATCACTCCGTGCACTATCCCCGAAATCGTCTGAATCAGATATATTACTTCCTGAATCACTAGGAAAGTTCTTATTGTCGTGGAGTTGTCGACTGATATTCAACAATGGATTTTTCTTAATTATCCCGTCATCTTGACCCATTGTATTTGGTAGGTTTTGAATTCGTTCATTGTTTACCCTAACGATATCTCTTTCAGTGATTATGGAGCCATCTTTCTTAATGAGTCCTTTTAGTCTTCTATTGCCGTCTTCATCTGACATTGCCTTGCGACGTTTTCGAATGTGTAGGAATAGGAAAACAGATGCAACGTAGATGAGACCGAGAAGTAAGGAACTGATGCCTATGGCGACATATTCTGACACTGTGAGGCCATTAGAGCTAGAAGCCCCTGCTGTTTGTGCGTTTGGTGCGAATTGGACTTCTGTTATATCTGAAAATAAGTTAACGTCAATAACGATGGCAATTTAAGACCAAAATCTAAATAAGGTATATAACATACTAGAGTATGGTTTAGGTGGAGTTCCTTGCACCCTAAATGCAACACATGGTGTGAACACTCCTCGCAAATCAAGTGGCGACGTGGGAGTGGCGGCGACATCGCGACACAGCAATCGAACCACCATTACTCGTCCGGTCATTCTTGCACGCACGTCGTTCTCTCCGCTCCACTACGAATTACAACTCGATTAGTTTCAGAAAATAGAAAATCAAAAGATTGAGAACATGTGTGGGAAAATTGATTACTTGTAGAAATGTTCTGCCTTCGTCACGGAATAGATTGAAGGGGACATCAGCATCCAAAGTGTTTCGCAGATCGAGGAAACCTTTCCGTGTGAGAAATTGAGCGCCTGATACAGCACATATTGGTGTTTTGACATCTGTGGAAAGAAATGATTTCGTAAAATAACCAACCTACTTCAGATTCAGCTCACATGATTCGTGTTTTTTAAATACTCACTTTGGAAAGTGATCTCCCTGGAGGGGTGTATAATCTGTCCTTTTAGCGGCAGATATACAAACGGTATCCGTTGTACAGCGCTGCCGGTCCCAAACGTAGCTAGCGAACATTCTGTAAAGCAAAATATTTATTCTACAAACCGTGAAGATCAAACCGCGCAAGCAAAACGTCGGCAGTGACATCGGCAAGTGTTTAATGCAAATATTTGTCAAATCCGATTTAGGAATAACACGAACAGGGTTATCTGACATTTTACTAGTCTTCTCATTTGTAAAGGAATTAGGAATTAAGGTTTCTTTTCAAAACCCGATGTGGTATTAACAGTGTTATATTTGAACTTCGCATTTACACCTTAAGTGTCGCTAAAGCGGCATTTATCTCACAGTCAGGTTTCAAGTTGTGTAGTCTTCGAAACTAAAGTGTAATTGGGATCGTCAGCGATATTTTCAAATGTGAAATTACGTATGGAATACTGATCATTTCGAAGAACTCGGCGAATGTTAACGAGTAAAATACTACCATATTTCGATACAACATTTTGATAAGGGTTTGGAAATATTTGGCGGTACCGAGATCACGATGTTTCGATAAAAAGATGATAGTTTGCGTGTAAGAAGAAAGCAATGAAAGTAAACTCATGTAGTCATAAATTAATGTTAAAAGATAACATCGGAAAATTGAGATAGCTATTCAAATGCTGGTAGTTTTATCTAATTAAGCAAGGAAAATGGAAAGCTACTTATTTGATTGTTTTTATGAAATCATTTCCCACATTGGTACGAAGGTAACATTGTTATTGAGAATCTAGCCACTTTGTTGTATGTCTCCCACGGACCTTTATAATTTTTCTCTTAATTATGCTGCTACTATTGGTCTATTATATCGATTTATAAACAGCAAAAACTATGAATGTCTTTCCTATTGAAAGTTTAATTCTTGGTATCAGACATGTCGAAAAGTCTCTATTTATCTCGATTTTTTATAACATCAATATGTATACCTAGTAGGTAAGTGACGAGGTGATTCAGAATTCAGACGACAAAAGTAACTAGCACACTTAGTTTTTAGATTTCTTAAACAATAATTGCAGCGTCCATCAGCAGTAAAGTTAAGAAAAAGTTGTGATAATTCGCGTATCTCTGTTACACACTAGCCAAAGTTCCCGTCAGATGTGATCTTGTAAAAAAGTTCTGTTTCAAAGTCAAAAGTGAAGTAGTAAGGTCATATTTGTTGTATTTAAGTACGTTATTGACTACCACTTGAATCAAATGGAAACTGTCAAGTAAGTTTTTATATACAACTAGCTTTTACCCGCGGCTTCGCTAGCGTCACAACAGGATAAAAAGTAGCCTATGTGACATATACCAATACATACAGCGCCATCTATACCAATACTTTTGTTTTCCCTCGGGAATATCGAATTTTTTCGGGATAAAAAGTACCCTATTATTTAATCCAGACTACTAACTTTACGTCTGCAAAAATGCAATGCAATCGGTTTAGAAGTTACGGCGTGAAGTCAGAACAAACAAACAAACTCACTTTCCGATTTATAATATTAGTAAGGATTTCTATCTGTGGTTTTGTCAACTTTTTATCTCCTTGCTAAACGCAATCATAGATAATAATCCATTGTGCGTTCTAGGAGATATTGATTTTTACTAGACAATTTCGCTTTCCTATACAAAAATAGTAATGAGTAGATACCCTAGTTTATTGTAACACCAATCGTCTATAAGCCAAAACTACGAGTATTTTCAAAGATCTTGTAATGACTAAACACCGTACTACCTAATCACTTAGCTCAAATTTAGCTTGTCGGTTAACCAGAATCTGGTTCAACACTTATACTATTTCTAGACCTGCTACTAATGGATACTTGACATTAGAGCCATCATCATTTATTTAAATCCGAGCCATTTAACTACATGATAAATGTCACCTGGGAACTAAAAAGTAGGTACTATAAGTAGGTAGGTTAGGTTGCCTACGTAAAGGGGTACATGCATCCCTAGTCCCAGTGAAACTCGTTTGATTAAAAGCAAAGTATAATAATGCTTCCCAAGAACCCTATAGATCTATGGGTGAAGTAGTAAGACATAATTTCTGATTTTTATGTAGTTGTGTTGTTGTTTTACACTGCCGTCGGTAGAGGGCGCCCTAGACGGACATATAGTGACCAGATTATTATATCGCCATATATTAAAGAAGGGCCAAATTAAAAGTACCCTTAACCGACGAGCATGCATGAAAAGATTGATGACTGTTAATGAAGCGAAAGAGGTATGTAAGAATCGTAGTAATTGGCGTTCCTTAGTCTCTGCCTACCCCCATGGGAGACAGGCGTGAAGTTATGTATGTATGTATGTATGTTTTACACTGCCTACAAATTCTGTATCTCAATTTAAATACACTTACGTACCTATAGGAACCGTTTTTTGACAATCGGTGGGTAATCACTAGTAAATACGTACGTAAGCAATGACGTAAATTTGTACTTTAAAGTTAAGTAATTGTGGTACAACTTGAGAGTCTTGAGAGATATTATCATCAAGAAGCTCTCGAAGAAGCTATTGATGATAATATAGAGCGAACCTTTACGCACATGATGACGAACGTAAATTACCTGGCAGATCATCAACGCATAGTTCCCTGTCCTCTCGAAAGAGTGGCGCGCGCTGCGGGCACGCGCATGCGCACTCGCCGCCCGCTTCCGTGGCGCGCGCGCCTGCTCCATGCTCTGCGCATAACGCAGCGCTGCACTCATTTTCTGTAAATGTTATACGCTAATTAATAGTGTTTCGAATTTTAACATCAACTTTCAGAAACAGACACAACTAGATAGGTGGATGCGGCTCAAAAAAAGGTTTATTGGATTTATCTGCACTTAGTTTTTTTTAAATTTTATACAAACATAGGTTGATAGGTTTTCGGTTTTGTTACAAACACAAAATCTGAAATATTACGTAACTTGATATGCTACAGCGCATGGAATATCATTTCTAGACACTGAAACTGGAACTATGACTTATGTTTACCTATCAGTTTCGAACTTGAAGCTAAACGAAAACACTCCCTGTACATTTCTTTAAGAACCAGGAATAAAAAAGTAAGTTTTTTAAACAAAGAGACCATTGGTAACTGACCGGTAATAGTGAAGATGTCACCGGTGTCTCGGCGCGCGAGTTCCCCGAGGCGCGCGCCGGTCACGGCCGCAGCGGAGACCAGCTCCAGCACCACCACCAGCAGCAGCGTGGCGGCCATCCTACCCCCCGCCGCCACCATCCTCGTCACCTCCCGCCATCCGCATCGCTAGTAGCACCTGGTAAGAAAATAGTCATGTTTAGACATTTCATCTGCAAAACCACTTTTAACATTATCGTGTTAAGAGTGCATCGGCTACGGCGATTGTGATGGCAATCAGGTGGCCCGTAAGGTATATTTTTTGTACAAGATGTAATGTAATATATAAGAGAATTGATGCAAGATGCTGCAAGTGCCTGGAACTTAAACCACTTTTTCAGTTAATAAGAATAGGTACGTGATTTTCTACGTTAAATGTCAGTGTTAAGTGCCAGATGAATCGTTTTATTAAACTTAAAGAAAAGAGAGCGATGAATCTTAATAGCTAGCTTGGCATTTTAAGTCACATTACTAAATTAACCAATATAATAATATAGCCACATCCGATCCGTCTAATATTGTAAGAGTCTTAGGGCCATCAAACAATTCATGGTGGGAATGTGTGATGTTCCCTTTGTCTGATCATCAAGTATGGTAGTGACTAGTGACTTACCTACGCTATAATAAAATTTACAACATCTTAATGCCAAGTCGTAATCCCTCATTCATATAACTGCTGACTGACAGTCATTGTATAAGATTGATTGGATATATACGGTTCGTTTTTGGACGATATAGGAACCGCGCCCGTAGCGAAACTAATCTACGAATTGTTTCATAAAGTGTTACAAAATTTTAAATCGTAACATGACGTACGAATGAAGCCAATTTAGTGAAAATAGTGAATCGAAACGATATGAGATACGTATAACGAGACCGGTGAAAGCAGACGCAGCAGTGCAAAAATTCAAGTGCATTGTTCAATGCTTAATTTCACTCAGTTCACATGATTTCCTCTGTGGTGTCGGTTGTCTTGTACGTCTATGGGATGAGACAAAGATGGGACACGAACCGTTTCGTAGAATTACAGCAATAAAATCAACTCAAAGAATCTCCACAATACTTGGAAATTTTACTATACCTAATCTAAAATTTGGTGTCAATTAACTGTGAGTTCACCAAACATTAGATAGAGGCGACATTTAACAGCATCTTCAGTTTACCTACGTGTGTAAAAATTCTCTGTTAAGTCACCAAACAACTGTAGCAATCCATAAAAACTCGATGCTGACCATATTTGTTTTACTTTTCATCCGCGCGTGTGTTGGCACGCGTCAATACTGTTGACTCTTCGTAATGCCGTGTTTCCGCGCGACCAGCTATTGGTAGATATTTACCTAACTGTCTCAACAAAATCGCACTTAAAACTCAAGAAACGGTATTAAAATTTATTATTGAAGTGACAATGTTAGGATCTAATGACACTGACAAACTCGCTCAGCGGTGGGTCCGTGTGTAGAAACACCCACTTTGTCGATTTAAGCTGGTTTCCGACTTCACAGTCAATCATTTCTCAGAATATCAGTTCGTAACATATTAACACTGAACGTTGAAATATGGACAGCCGTGTATGCGCTAGACAGATGTCGATTTATTGTTGTGATCCATCCCTCCACGCTAATAGGTTTCCTTAATCGCTATGTGAACCTTTGCAGTGCTGTGCCACTTTTAGATAATTATTTTTGTCTTATGATGATGGGCGGTCTGGACTAAGATCTTGCAACAAATCTCACAATACTATGTTTACATACTAACCTATTGACTTTAATCGTCTGATCTTTGATGTTATTAAAAACCTTAATAATCAAAATTTGGCATTAGATAGCCACAAATAATTTGCAAGATATGATATAATATGTAGTAATTTCGTTTTACGTCGATGAGAGTCCTATCATGGGTGTATCGAATTTACTTAACAAAATTGTAAATAACTTAGCGAACATAAATATCCTGAGTATTAGTATTTAGTGGTGAAAAGTAAACTAAATAGTAGGTTCAGCTCGGTAAACTAAATAGTCTATTGTTTTACAAGTTAGATATTTGGCCTAAAGACCACGGGTTTCATTTACATTTTACCGCTCGGCGCTCGTCATCGGAAAACTGCGTTTTAGCAAAGAAGTCGTGGTTTGTGGCGAAAGATGAATAATTTGAGGGCAAAATACTCGGTGTCTACAATGGAACCACGCCACGTAGAGCCAAAGAATTAATAAATGAGGAAATTGTTCTTAGACTTGTAGGTAAAAGGCTTTGTTTAGGATTTTCTCCAAAGATATTTCTGCTATTACCGACAATACTTAGGTATTACTGGATGGTATGTTTGTAAAATTGGTTATGCACTCTCTGGTACAGGTTGGTCGTTTTGTGAAATTGGTTAAATACTCGTTTTTACCGCATATTTATTATGAGACCCGTCCTAAAGTACTAACTGCAGTTCATTAGACAAGCGAAGTATGACTGAAATTTTAATTTCGAAAATCTTTGGTACCTTGTTGTCTTAACTGGAAACATGTTAGGGTAGACTTTTGCATTGGAAGAAAATGGACTAAAAAACAAAATTGTACGATGTATGGTGACCAATACCTAATCAATAATATTCAGTCTCTAATCACAAAGACTCCTGCCGGTCTTCACGAATAAATCCAGTCATTTGAGTAAACACCACCAGCGTCCTTAAACATCAGTGATTCACGACCAACTTATCATCATTGTGGTTAATCTCACTCTTCATATACTACTTTATCCATCTGATTACAACTTGCGACGGTTGTATATGCATTTACTGATGCACAAGTAGATAAGATTGCAGTAATATGACCAATCTGAACCCTGATTGATATTGTCGTCCATAAAATTATCATCAACATCTGACATTTGATAGAACGTGTGGATACGTCGTGCGCGCGCTTGCGGCTAATAAGCAGTTCTACATGTATTTATTTTGTGAAAAATAGGTTGGGTACTGGTTAATGATGTAGGCAAAGTTTTGCGGAGTTTTTTTGTTCCATATGAAGATTTCAATAAAAGGAATATCTATTACGACGCAACATTTTTGTTCCATAAGATCTGAGGCTATTGCAATTCAACTTTCATCTGGTTATATTTTTCTTGTTAGTTGATTATATAAATGAATTTCACTATGGAAATAATTTATGTTATCTAGGAATTAATATCATAAAATAATATTTGGTTGCTATTTACACAAAAGACCATTCGACAGAAATAAGATACTTACTATAATCAGGGGGCTTAGGTACTCTTGAATCCAATTCCGATCGGTTGACATTGGTATTGTAAAATTTCGTACCTTTGAGTTGCAACACTAGAAGCCATTATTTATTATTAGCCGTATTACCTAGATATTTAATGAACTTGGATATTGAGTTTGGATTTATATTCTATATTCTGAATCCTATTTTAATATCTACGAAAGGGGTTGTATAGTTTTGACATTGAATAATTTATTGGGATTTTATTGGATTGAAATTGCATTGATATTGAGATTGGTTTTTAGAGTAAGTACCCAGATACAAATAAGATGCGTTCATGCTATCGTTACTGCATTTAGTTCCTTCAATTTACCACAAAACGAAAATTCCTCAAGGAACTTGATTTAAACAGGTTAGTATGACTAAGTACTTGTATTGAACTTAATATAATGTAACCTTTACAAAGTAACAGAGCGGCCCCGCCTCCGGAAGTCGGCCAGTGCAGATACATCTATTGATTTCCCATCTAGAGATAACGATTGATCTGCAGCCATTACCGAGACTACCTCATGTTTGTCTAAATACATACACAGACACCAACATACACATTATAGCTCTAATTATATTGGTTAACATTCCTATCCCATGCAAAGGAAACTAGGTCTTGAATCATTGTAATAAGAGTGCAAGTAAATGCAGCAAAAATTGGGTTCTAAGAGCCATGTGTACTAGGATCGCAAAAATTGCAGAGGTTCGTTCAAACCCGTAGGCGCCGGGGACTGACGCCGGTCGAACTGGTTAATTGTCAGACATTATTTAGTCCTGGTAGCAGTGCAGTACTTATGAAGATTGATTACTGGGTTAAAAGACTTCTAATTCATAAGCAGTCCATCTACCTCGAAGGGACGTTTAGGAACCATGTATTATGGTTAATTTTACAAACTTAGATGTATGTGAGCTTCCTGAAATGGTAAGGAATGTTAGTTAGGATTGTATTACTGAGTTATATGCGAATCACGTTGGAAAGCCCTTCGGCACCTACACTGCACTCTCATTAAATAGTGCTAATCAGTTCAATTCCTTATACGAATCGAGCGTGTAAGTGATCATTGCCTTAACTAATTAATTATTAATAGGACAGAAATAGATTTCTTTGATAATACTGATGCGAAATCTTTTAATAATTCATATAATCTTGTAGAAAATATTTCTAAAAAAGATTCATACTAATCTTAAGCTCCTGCAGCCGTTGATTGATGACAACAAAACGGTTTCTAGATAAACGATGTCCATAATTATTTAATAACTAAAATACAAACAAAAACCAACAAAGTAAAAAACATTTTTCAAAATATGACTTGTTACTTTGCAACTGGTTGATAATTTGTGCCACCAACGTACATACATACAACGTCCTAAACCATTAAATTAATACGATTTAAATCGACCACAAAAAAAGGTAATTTACGTTGTAAAAAATATAGAAGAGAAGTCCTTGGTAATTTAGTATTAAACCTCATTGAGACCTCTTCATTTTTGTGGAATTGGTTGAAAAACTAATTACTTAGGTACTGCTATTTAGATCTTTGTAAACGTTATATCTACTTAAACCAGACCTATTCAGACTCAATAAGTCAGTCTTCATAGTTATTTGCATTTAGGTCTTTAAGACTCAGGTCTTGGATGCTCCGTCGTACCAACGACCGGTTTGTAATTCCTAGATTTACAAACTTAATTATCAGATAATTCTCGGCTTTATATTAACATGCAGGAGCTCACAAGAACACCATCTTCAAGGCTTTATACTGTCTTCTAATGATTTGATAAATTAGCAATGTCATTATCATGTTACAAGCTATTTATCACTTCGGAGTTGGGAGTCTGACCGCACAAGGTGACGATGTACCACATAATTATAATCTGATTGGTTCTG